TGAAGAGGGAATGCCCTCTCCACTTCATGTTCATTGGGCTTTTGTTGAAAATCACTTGTCTGTAGGCAGAAGCTTTTATTTCTGTGTTTTCCTGTTCTGGTCCATGGGTCTATGAATCTATCATTATACCAGCAACAGGCTGTTTTGACAACTGTGGCTGTGTAGTAGGTTATGAGGCCAATGTAGTTCAAGACCACTACTTTGTTCTTCTTTTTGAGAAGTTCTTTGCTTATCCTGGGCTTCTTCCCTCTCCATATGAAGTTGGTAATTCCTTTTTCCATTTCTTTAAAGAATCATTTGGGATTTGGATTGCATTGAATTTTTAGATTCCTTTAGGTAGTATTGACATTGTAACAATATTGAGTCTTCCTACCCATGCACACGGGATATTCTTCCACTTGTGTAGATCTCTTTTGGTTTCTTGTAATTATGTCCTGTCCCAGGTCTTCTGGGTTTGTTGTTGTTGTTGTTAGATTTATTCCTAAAATTATGTTTTTATATGTAAACATTTACTCCATCTAAAATCTATTTTTGTGGATGATGGAGGATTAGGATTTGTCCAAATGGTTACTATATCGTTATTGACTGATATGTTCTTTCTACTTCCTCTTTATTCTATAGCAAATTGTGATACTGGGTTCTTTTGTTCTTCAGCTCTCCTGATATTCCCTTGTACCCGACTCAGGCTGCTTCATTACCATCACTTTTAATATGCTTTGATATTTGATCCGGGAAATTCACATGGTCAACCAGGAAGATCACAGAGATGTGCGTGTATGCATAAGTAGATGTGCTTGTTCCTTCCTGTGGCTACACCATGGCAAAGAAGTATGTGGGTGTACAAGAGCTTCCATGTGAAATACTGACGGTGAATTGCCTTGGGATGATGGGAACTTGCTTGGGAGTTTCAAAGTCATTGCCCTCAGTGTCTGGAACAGAGTTACTAAGGCAGTTGGAAAAACTAAAAGGCAAATTGGAGACCACAGGGCTCTCAAGGAAGATTGGTCCCAGTCTTAGAGACCTTGTAGGTCTGGAAAGACAGAAAAGAAAGCAGGGGGCATGAACTGAGCTTTGTTATTTTTAGACATTAGCACCAGCAGTACTTCAAGGTCTTCTGAAAGGTCCCAGAAATTTTCTCCAGCTCCTGGGGCTCAGTGGGTGTGGCACGGTCAGCCACTCACCCTCTCAAAGCTAACCTCAGGCCTAGATGCAACACCAGTAGTTTTTTGTGGTTCTATGATCTCTCTAGTTAGAAATCATATGTCTATTTTTGTCGTATAGTTCATTGAACGAGACTTTTCAAATAAAACAGAGCTTGTCACTCAGTGAGCTATTACCCCTCTATAAGTTTGCATGTGGCGGTGATGCTGGAAGCTATGTGTCACAGTTACATCATCTCCTGTTAACTTGAGTGAAGGGGTGGAGTCTAGCCTTCAATCAGGTCATAGCCAATGAGGCCTCTGTGTGGGCGTGGCCTTCTCCGGAGGATTCTGGGAATTCCTGTCTTCCTCCCTGGAGGCTGGACACATACTCTCTCTGCTCAACATTCCTGCTGACAAGCCACATGAAGCCATGCTGATGGCAGCCAAAGCTCCAGAGCTAGAACAGCCAGGTGGAGCCCCCTGCCAGCACTGAGATGCTTCCACCACCACCGGATCCATAAGACTTCCCATCCACTGGCCTGTGATCTTCCTGCACTTGGTGTCATTGCATGTGTTTTGTGAGTCTGAAGAGGAATTTATAGACTGGTATTGGACATGTGGGCTAATATCAGACTTAAGGACTTGATCTGGACTGGGCTGGGATGTTTTCTCAAAATACAATTGTTCTTGTATGTAAAGCTCTTTCTTATACACATATGAGTGTCTCTGGATTTGTTTCTCTAGTCTACCCAGACGAACACACTATGCCACCAGGATTTCAAAGACTAACAGGGTTGCCCATGGTGGACAGGTTTCCGCAGACATTCTGGTCTATGACACTAGGAAGAAAGGCCTGGTAATCTACTTCTAAAACTTGTGCAATGAAGGCATTATGGATCACAACAGAGTATTACCTGCCTCGCTTGCTGTGGACATGCTTTCAGGAGATATTGGTCACTAAAGGAGGAGGACATCAAGTTTGGTGAAGTGGAAGGCAAACAAAGGCCAGGAAGACCCTTGGTGGGAAAGATTGGACTCTCTTGACCATAAGGAGTCAACTGGATGCTATCTCACAACAATCTGGCAAAAACTTCACTGTGTTTCTGACACCTTGTAACACACACACACACACACACACATATGTGTGTGCCTGCCTGGCTGGCTTTGGCCCTCCCCACCTGGCTCACAGGCATTCATCTCCGAAGGCTCTCTTAAGGTAGGCCATCGGGTTCCTAACTGTCCAGGACAGGAAACAGGTGGAGCATCAGGCCTAGATCTCTAAGAGAGCCCAGGTGAGCCCAGGACAAAGCCTGCCTCAGTTCTGCATTGTGATATCCAGGGGGCTTCAAGAAGGTAGAGATCCTATTGGCCCTCTTGCTGGGATCTAATCAAGAGTCCTTGGGATGAGAGAGCCAGGCCTGTGGCTTCACTAGAATAAATTGCTAGGACATTTGAACCGCGGCTGCCCCATGATGCATTTTTGTTACCTTTCCTACTTGGCTTCTTTGAAGCTGTCCTTGCCTTGGCTTTTTGGGAGGGGAAAAAATGAGGAGCTGATACCAAGGGCTCAAGTAGAAAGAAAATGTTTTGAGAATGATGATGGCAATAAATGTACAAATGTGCTTGATACAATGGATAGATGCATGGATGGATGGGATGGATTGTGATAAGAGTTGTACAAGCCCCCAATAAAAAGATTTTTTTGAAAAAAGAAAGCTCACTGATATCGTTGATTACAACACATACCAACCGTATTGGAAAGAGTAGAACTGCATGTAGGGATTTCTGAGGCTCTAAATATTCACCTGAGTGGAAAACCCCATCTTTCACTCAAGGAGCGGCTAGTGGGCTAGAACTGCTTACCTTAAACTTAGCAGCCTAACTAGCTTGTAACCCATGGCTCCTTGTTGACCAAACTACATCCATTGGGTAAATGTGCTTCATGAGACCTCCATAAAGGGTTGGAAAAGCAGGGTTACTTTGACAACTAAGGTGTGCCCGATCCAAGCCACGGTATTTCCCATTGTCTCGGATGCATGTGACAGCTGGACATTGAAGGAGAACGCAGAAGAATCGATGCGTTTGTTGGGGACAGACGATTGAAAGTACCATGGGCAACCCAAATGAAACACAACTCTGTCTTCGAAGGAGTACAGCCACAGCTTCGTAGGCAAGGACGGCGAGCCTTCGTCTTACACTGCACACGTTGTTACCGAGACTAGTCCCTGGAGAAGGGCATCATGCTTGGTAAGCTAGAGGGCAGTGAAGAACAGGAAGTCCCTGTACAAGATGGATTGGCACAGTGGCTACGGGAATGGGCTCAAACATAGAACAATTGTGAGATGGCGCAGGACCGGGCCGTGTTTCCACCTGTTGTGTATGGGGGTCACTAAAAGCTGGTGCTGATTCGGAGGCATCTAGCGACAGCACATACATATGACATAGGATGGCATGTGTTGCTCTCAGTATCTAGTGAGCACGCCCCCGGGGAGGGGCCAAGTCTGGTTTGCTGTATTCCATGAGTGACAATTCTTTACTTTACACTGGCCTCCAGGACACTAAAGACTGGCCTGCCGACTCACTCCCTACCATGACAGGTGTTTACCAGCCTCCACCCTAGCCCCAAGGAGAGCTGGCGCTGTTCCCGGGCACCGAGCCCGCCCTCCGGGGGCTCCACGAGGCCCATCGCACACCGAGTGCCTGGAGAAGAGGAAAGGTGGGTACTCTTCGAACTTGGTCCCGGCAATGGGCAGTGGGCCGCTTGGAGTTGGCAGGGGTGGTCTAGGAGAAGGGGGTGAGGGTTGGAAGCGGGAAGGTGAAAAGGTGACTTGGCCTTGGCATGGGCAGGGGGGCGGTCCCCGGCC